ATTCCCCTCACAACCTCTTATATGTAATTTTATATAACATTGAGGGTCTCCTTCCATTTCCATGCAATTTCCCTTTTCTCTCCCTTTCCCTCCCACCTCATGTCTCTGTTTAATGTTAATCTTTTCCTCCTGCTATTCCTCCCTGCCCTGTTCTTAGTTGCTCTCATTATATCAAAGAAGACATTTGGCATTTGTTTTTGCATTTTTCTTATTAGTGTGTTCAGTATGTATTTATTGAATATTTAAAGTATGTGTGTGTATAAATTGTCTTTTCTATGCTTTGCCTATTTTTGCATTGGTAATGTTTCTTACCAATTTATAATAGCTCTCTGTATTTAAAATAAACATGATATGTTTATTGTAAATATTTTCCAACTTTTAATTCAGAATTTTATGGATTTTTAGCATATGAAAACTTCCTCTGCATTTCATTTATGCTTAAATATTCATCCTGCATTTTCTTTTTTCATGTCCTCTTTTACATTCAACTTTTCATTTCAGCTAAAATATAATAAGATGTGTTARAAACAACAATGAAAAAAAACTTTAAGTAATACATTTTTAGTTTATGTGTTTCTGGCCTTTCTCAAGAAAAGTTGTGGAAATGGAATTAAAGAGGTTCCATACCATTTAAGTCTTTTCTAAAATATGACTGAAAAGGAAGTTTTTGATTCTTAATATAGTCTGTTTTTTGAAAAAGTTTAAAATAATACATAAACTGAATTTTCCCCATTTACTATAAGTTGAGAAAGAATTCTTCAAATTAAAACTACAAAAGCATCATTAAAATATGAATTTGTATTTCAGGAATTTATGCGTATGATTGGCAATGACAAGCAAGGACAGATGATTGTGTTCCATTTGATAGAACTCCTGAAGAGTAATGGAAGATTACCAAGGCCAGATGGATGCCCAGATGAGGTAGCATCTTTTTTTAATTCACAGTAATCATGTGTTTTCTTTTTGTTTTTACTCTACGATTTTAGGTCACTGAAATTGCTGAGCTTTTACACAAATAGCAGAAATAGATGACTGTGAATCGAGGCATAGCTATGAAATATGTAATCTATAGGAAAATTAAATAGAAATTCCAAATTCATTTTCCATCAATTAAAAAGATGATATTTTGGATTTATTATATATTTTTTTTTCTTTTACAGATTTATATGATCATGACAGAGTGCTGGAACAATAATGTAAATCAACGCCCCACCTTCAGGGACCTAGCACTTCGAGTGGATCAAATAAGGGACAGCATGTCTGGCTGAAAGAAATCGTGTTTAAACTGAGACCAAAGTACACTTAGAAAAGAAAGTTTTATATTTCACAGTGCTGTGGACTATATTTACACATATCATTCTTATATAAACCATGATGCCCGCTGGCAAAGATGTGAAAATACCTGCTCAAAACTTCAAACTTTTGTGAATTTTTCTTCATTCAGCCATCTGTAGAGGATACTAATGAAGAGTCTTGAGCAAGAAAGTTTGTGAAAAGTATCATGAATTTTGTCAGTTACATCTCCTCCTCTAGCAAAAGAAAAAATAGACTTTTTTTCAACTCAGCTTTTTGAGAGATGAAATATTATAATGTAAATTTTTCAATGTTAAAGATACATAGAATATATATGTACAGTTTTTACCACAGTGAATGTATTATACTTTGGCATCTTGTGTGAGATACACAAGGGCTGATGTTCATTAGTAATGTTTTCTAATTTTTCCATAATTGATTTAAATAACTTCATTATGCAAACAAATTAAGATGCTTAAGAAATTGAATAAGCAACTTTGTGTTCTTGTTCATCTGTGTCACTGTCTGGCAATATTAAGCAGGCTTATACTTTTGACTTGTAGTTTCATGTACTGTAAATATTTTTCAAAGCAGAGGGAACAAAAGTCTAGTTTTATTTGTATAGGGAATTTCCCTGACCTTCTAAGGAACACATTTTGAAATGGAACAAGCTTACAAAGACATAACACAATCTATTTTCTTATTTGTTTCCCTTGTATCTGTTTGTGGTAAGTATGTTTTTTTTTTTAAATAGAAGTATCTTCAGACTTTTCTAAGACTATAATGAATAGTATTCTTTAAAATTTTTGAGATTAAGAATGCTGGAAATATTGTCATCCCTTGAGCTGTTGACTGCCAATAAGATTCTTCAATCCCTGGGACCTGTGGTAATGCATTACATTTAAACATAAGCCATAAAATAATTTCTAAAATGTACAAGCTCATTAAGATGCATATTGGATTAAGAATTATTTTTCTAAAGAGTATGTATTTGAGTGGTTTCCAAACTTTCTATTGCAGTCATAGATTTTTTTAGAGTGTCTCCTACACAAAAGAGGTAAATTGGTGAAAAAATATGCTTATAATAATTTGATTCAAAAATTCTAGTAGAAAATTCATGATGTATAGCTTTAAGGAAAAGGAGAGAGAACATACATATTTTCATACAAGTGTAAAGAATTTGTTGTCTTCATTCGTTTTACTGTGACTCCATTTAGATCCCATACCTAAAATAAAATATGGTGGGTTTGTGTGTGTGCAYGTGTGTGTATGTGTATTAATTATACAAAGTTTAATAATAGTTAAGAAGGAARTGACTTCTTTATTTTCAGTAGTGTATGCCATTTTGTAAAACATATAYTTAAGATTTCTGATTTTGGGTYGAAGGGAAGGAAAGTAAAGAAATGCTTCTTGCATTCTTTGTCTATAAGATATTTTAGTAGATACCAGATACAGATGTCATCTAAAAAGAGAGTGTATTCAATTTTTTAAAAAAGATTTCTGATAGATATTTTGATTAAAATTGAGTATAATAGGTATTTATGTAGACTTTCAAGTAAGATAGAGATTCTATTACTTTTCATATGAAAGCAGCAAATATAATATGCTTAATTTCAAACTTTGTACTAAAACTTAAGTACTTAAAGTTTCTTCTCAAATTTCTGTAGCATTTTGTTTGTTTTCTTTAAAAAAGTATCTTTGTTTTAATGTTTCATTTTTTTTTAGTTTTAAAGTATCCCACATATATATTCTTAATGTCACCTAACAAATCATAATATCCTTAAGTTTCTAAAGAGAAATGACTACTTTATTGTAAAATTTCAAGTTTTCAGTAGATTTCTTTTACAATGAGAGTTTGGAATATTTTAAATTTTTATTTTGGCTCTACATAAGAAGTTAACCCTGTATCCATGTTAATTTGGTTCTATAAAAGAAACAGGTAAGTAATTATAGTATCTATCAGTTAATGCCAAATGTTTCTTCACATTCTTCAGAAATGAGGGAAAAATGTTTACTTAGAGTTCTGTACGTATTTCAGTATATTATGTAATATTAATATAAGTAATTCTCTACTTCCCTGGGCACTTGCTTTAGAAAATGATCACTTTTTTATGCTATTTGTGTGTGCTGCTGGGGTACTACCATTTGTTGTGGAACAGCACTTTCTTATAATACAATAGTTCTGCTTTAAAGTTAAGTGAAATTTTTATCACAGGTSTAAATTCTGATACTTGAATTTTATTTAAACAGCTTTATTGTGCAATAAACATTAGAAAATGTCTACATTTCTCTATCTAGGGAGCCATTCTCCATGGGGTGGCTTATATGCTCAATTTATTGAGATGATGTTAATGTCTTTTTACTTTTAGCATGTTCCAACAAAATTGAAAGACCAAAGTAATAGATGTTCAGATTTTGTTTTTCTTTTGTAATGTCACCTAACAAATCACAATTATGTACATAGATGAAAATGTTTAGTTATTTTTTCACCAAAAAAGATAAGTAGATGTAAGTAGATGGTATTTTTACTGAAAAGGTTTAGAATCCTTCAAATGCTTTGAGCAGATACAAATCTCAGAGACTGAATTTTCTGGTAGCATGTTACTACATGATTTGTTGGAGCTTACCTACTGAAGTTAACTAAAGAAGTCAAAGATACTAAAGTAAATAGAAACAAATGAGAAAGATAAACCTGACATTCATGGTATTCAAATGTGAACACAGTGGAAGACTACTCAAATATATACATGATACTTTCTTTTTCTGCAGATAGTTGAAGGTTTCTGTAACAATGAACCTTTATGTGTATCCTAAATGTGTAGTGTCTTACATTAGACATTATTATTTTTATGTCCCGAGTAACATTTAAGATTCCTCAATTTTTAATTGGAGAAAAAGCAAAAAGGAAATTTGTTTGAGACTTTGTTTGAAATTTGTTTGAAATTTGAGAATTTGTTTGAAATTTGTCAGATACTTCATTAGAAAAGCACCAATGAAAATACTTTCAATCTTCTTAGAAAAGGCCTTGAGATATAAATATAAACTGCAGGTGGCCCAGAGCTAAAGGACAAGTAAGAATTGCTTTGTGTTGATTGACAGCATTCTTTGACTGATGTTCAGAAATCATTTACAAAATAATGGTCACACACTATTCCCCCCCCCATTCTCCCAGGACTTTCTTTTCTTTCATTTTTAGGAGCTTTTTTGAATACTTATTTATTTCTATCAGTAATTTTGAAGGTAGCACAAATCTCCTAATAACCACGTTTTCCTTTATTAGTCATATAATAGTGCATTGCAGTTTGTTGAATGGAAATTCTTGACAATAGGAGTGAGATATTGTTTACAAAGAAAATTGGAACCAAGTTTTAACTTTTTTGTTGAAAGACTTTGAAAAAATGTTGAAGTTGAACACTAGGACATTGAGCATACCATTACAGTTCCTAAGGAGCCATCATTAATTTCAAAACTATTATTTCAGAGGAAGATGATTCTAAAAATTGAGACTTTATTGGAGAAGACAACCTTTTTCCTAAAAAGAGATTGGAAATTGTGACCTAAAGAGAAATGAGTAAGAGGTGGGAAAAGGACAAATCTGAGATTATTTGTGTCTTAACAGAAATTTTTTCCCCAATATCTTGAACTTTTATTATTTTATGATTATTGTACTTAATGTGGAAGCTTAGTGTAGGGAAAACTCAATCAAATGCCAAAATTTTGGCTCTAATCATTGTGTAGGTCATTATTATACTTGCTCAAATAGTTCAGCTACATTTTAATGCTTAAATTCTTGGTAGAGTCCTTCCCCATTCTTTCTTTTTTGTTAATTTTTAAAATTTGTTTTAATTAGTTATATATAACAGTATAATTCACTTATGTACTTTGATGTGTCATACATAGATGGGGTATAATTTTTCATTTTTCTGAATGTACATGTTGTAGAATCACATCAGTTTTGCCGTCATATATATAAGGTAATAATGTCTGTTTCATTCTACTATCCTTCCTATCACCATATCCTCTCCTTTTCCTTCCCTTCTTTCACTTCCCTCTACCTAATCTATGGTAACTATTCTTCCCTAGTGCCCCCCCCCCACTTATTGTGAATTAGTATCTGCTTACCAGAGAAGAAAACATTCGGCCTTTGATTTGGGGGGATTTGCTTATTTTGCTTGGCATGATATTCTCCAGTTCCATCCATTTACCTGCAGATGCCATAATTTTTTTCTTTTAATGCTGAATAATATTCCATTGTGTACATATACCACAGTTTCTTTATCCATTCATCTATTGAAGGGCATCTAGGTTGGTTCCATAGTTTAGCTATTGTGAATTGTGCTGCTATAAAGATTGTCGTGGGCTGTGTCACTGTAATATGCTGATTTTAAGACCTTTGGGTATAGACCGAGGAGTGAGATATGTGGGTCAATTAATGGTTTCATTCCGAGTTTTCTGAGGACTGTATCCACGTTATATATTGCTGCAGATCTTTTAGCATATGCACCCAGTCATTAAAATACCACAATGCTAAGTATCTACAACTTTCAAGTTGCATCAGGTAACTCATGTTAATGGTGTAATARTGAAATCATGACCTCTTAAGTATTTTCATAATGTCCTAAATCTTGTTCACATATTGAAAATAAAGAATAGATAGATAAACCATTTATTGACATAGCAAAGAAATCCTGGATTATTTTCTTTGAGGGTAAATCCTGATGGTATCAATTAAGAATTCCTTGTTAAATAAATATTCCAACAAAACCAAGGGATTAAACATTTGTTGCATTTGCTTTTGATGTCATAACCAAAATATCAATCCGAATTCAATTTCATGAAGCTTTTGCTCTTAAATTTTCTTCTAAGTATTTGATTTTTTTCAGGGGTCTATAATCCATTTGGAGTTAATTTTTCTAGGTGACATAAAATAATGTTTCAGTTTCATTCCTTTACATATACATATTGAGTTGTCTTAGCACCACTTATTGATAAAACTCCTTTCCTGACTAATTGATCTTGGCACCCTTGTTGAGAATTTTTTGACCAAACACTCAACAGTTCATTTCTCTATTGCACTAAAGGACTTAACTATAGTCTTAAATGACTATACTTATRTCATTGCCTCACTGTAACTTTGTAGAAAGTTTTTTTAAAGATTGGTTTGGCTACTTTTAGGGTCCCCTGAGATTTCACATGAATTTTAGAATGTGTTTTCTACTTTTACAAAAAAAAATAAAAAGTCATTCAGATTTTGATAGAGGTTACACTGAATGTAGAGATTACTTTGGGATAGGATAATATCCTCCTATGTGGATTATCTCATTTTATAACTATATGAATAGGAACCATTTTCTCATATTTAAGTATGTAGAAACTGGAGTTTAGCAAGACATAGTAAATTCTCAAGACCTACATGTAGAAAGAAAGAATACTAGAATTTGAACTCAGGCAGTCTGACTCCAATGTCAGAATTTGTAACCCCCATTTGTCTGGGCTGCCTTTCATAACTTTGGCAGCAATGCATACTAAGCAGAAATCAACTAGATAGCCTGCAGTGATCTGTGGTTATATTGCCCTGGAAGCAAGGTGACCAAAGCATTTCAGTTCCTAGTGGAAATTTTTTGAATGTATTTCTAGTTGAATCACTACATCCTATTTTCCAAACAAAAGAATTTAGTTGTTAAACAATTTTAAAGGAAGTCTTTGTATCTAGGGAATAATACCATATTTTGTAAGATGACAAGAGAAAGTTGAAATTTTAAAAAATTTGGACTGGATGATCTTTGCTCCTCAGAATACAAGGTCAAAATATAAGGATTTAAATTGGATTCAAGTCTAGACATCTGTCTAGTTGCTTGAGGAACTGAACCCTACTTTCCAAAAGTCACCAAAATATTTGCTACATTAAAGAGTACTGAAGTACTAGAAAAGAATCAAATTTATTTGAAACCATTCGTGTTACAGCTGAGCAAACTAAGTCCAAAACAGTTTCCTTAATGTGCCCATATCACAGATCTGGTCAAGAGCAAAGCCAGGCTGTCTTCTGGCACTGATAAATGCTCTTTCTACTACAGCATGCTAAATTATTTTTAGTAAGCTTAGGTTGTAAGCAAATCATAATTATTTATCACAATTTATTTTGAGAGACTTCACTGAAAAAGACACTGTGCTAAATGTTGGTGAAAAAAGATGTTCACGTTTGTCAAGGGGTTGTTTTAGTGAGATGTGGCCAAGTTGTATCTTTAGAAAGCATCATA